GATAAACAAAAACGTGGTTTTCATATACATGAATTTGGTGATACTACGAATGGATGTACTTCAGCTGGTAATAACTCACTACGTTTTTTTGATATGATTATTCTAAAATGAGAAATAATCTACTATCCTTTTAAAAAAAAGGCGGGTAGGTATTTTTTGATAGGAACAGGATAGAGAGCTGCGGATTTCACCTTTAGAAAGAGAAGATAAAGATGCATCAAAACCTATATGGAAAGATTTCGATATCTACTTTCCAAAGGCTACTAATCAGATATTTTGAAAAAACTGCCTTTTTCTCACACGTGAAAAAATACGACTTTTTATCAAAAGATCGCAAAAACTTCCATTTTTTGCAAGAAAAATGGGTTACCAAAGTGTTTTTTTACCAGTGAAAGATTGAATTATTAGTAGTCATGAGTAAAACCTTCACACAGTTTTGTAGTTCTTGATCTGGCGATTCTAGAACACTCCTGAAAATGAACGAACTAATGTGGCGTTAATGCGAGACATACTGTTTGTGCAAGAGTTTCCTACAATAGCCTTTAGGAAGTAGTTACAAAAATCTTCCGACATAGGTTTTGATGTATCTTCATCTGCTCTTTCTAACGGTGAAACCCGCAGCTGTCTGTCTTGTTCCTATCAAAAAATACCCACCCTTTTTTTTTGAAATGGGCAGTAATAGAGAAAAACATAACATAGAATATAGGACTGATCTGTTATTAACAGGATGAAAAGGCAAGATTAATTTTTTTATATTTTAACCCAGGTGCTCATTACAATCCAGATAATCATGAACATGCTGGTCCACAAGATGAACTTCGTCATGTTGGTGATCTTGGTATTTATATTGATCTTTTGTTTTATTAAAATATTTATTTGAAATTATAGGAAATATAACTGGTGGATCTGGCAATGTTGCTAAATTTAATTTTAAAGATTCAATTATTAAATTAACAGGTTCAAAATCAATTATTGGACGTTCAATTGTTGTTCATGAAAAAGAAGATGATCTTGGTCGTGGAAATTCAGCAGATTCAAAGAAAACAGGCAATGCCGGTGGTCGTATGGCTTGCGGTGTTATTGGCATAAAAAAAACCTAATTTATTTCTTTTTTTTTGCTCTAAAAAACAATATATTCCAGCTTTTATATTAGTTTGATATTATTATTTGTAGATCTGAATAATGCCATTTCGTTTTGCTGTTGTTTGTTCATCAAATCAAAATCGTAGTATGGAAGCACATAATTTTATGAGGTTAATTTCATTATAAATATGAATAATATTAATAATAATAGAATTTTATTTTTAGTAAACGTGGTCTTCTAGTCAAATCGTATGGTTCAGGTCAACAAGTTAAATTACCTGGAACATCTCTTGAAAAACCGAATGTATATACATTTGATACTTCATATGAATATATGTACAAAGATTTATATAAGAAAGATACAAATTTGTATGTATAATTTATTAGTATTCTTAATATTTAACAAAATGACATTCTAAAAGTTATACACAAAATGGTGTTCTTCATATGCTCGATCGTAATCGTCGAATAAAAGAGAAACCTGAACGTTTTCAAGATAGTCGAGAACGTTTTGATGTTATATTTACTGTTGAGGAACGTATCTTTGATCAAGTTATGGAAGGTAAAGATAAGACAAAAAAAAACAACTAATAAATCATTCTTATAATTCTAGATTTAGAAAATCGTGAGAAGCGTACAAACGAAATAGTTCATATTATTAATATTGATGTAATTGATAATCCAGAAGATGCTACACTTGGAGCATTTATGTTTTGTGAATTAGGACAAAAAGTAAATAAAATATTTAGTTTTCGATTTTTTTATCTATTTTTTTTTTCTTCTTAATAGTTAGAGGCAACGAATGATTTGGATGATGCTATTGATGATATACTCTCAGAATTTGAACAGAAAACAAAAAGAACTGTATTACATGCTGTTTCATTCTATTAGTCATTTTTCTTCTATGTGTTTAAATATCTTGTTATGAAAAAAGAAATTATGTGATATTTCAATTTTTTTTTGTTATGTTTTTTCATCTTTATAAAAATAATTTGTTAAGAAAAAATTTTCTTCTGTTATATATATACATAAACATATATATTTGTTGAAGATATGGCCGAAGAAGTATCACAAAATATAGCGAATCAAGAAGAAAGTAGAAGTAATGGAAGATTTATTCTTGTTTTATTTTAATTATGAATTTATTTAGTCTCAACAGAACAAAATGTTGATCCAACAACAACAACTTCATTAAATGAATCTACAATGATGGAAACATCAACAAAAGAAGAAGAAGAAGAAGAACAGCAACAACAACAACAGCAAATAAATGTTGTTGATGATGCAACACTTCAAGCAGTACTTAGTTCAATGACAGAACCCGAAATGAATGCATTTCTTGAAGAACTTAATAAAACAGGAAAAGCATGTAAGTAAACAAAGTAGGAGGTTTAGAATTTGAGGTAATGATAGTGATAATATGCCTTTCATCACTGTAAATATATGATCGATGAGTATATTATTCGTTTGGATATGATAATATGCTAATAGTTGTTAACAACCAATCGTTAAATATTGATAATGATCTTTGTGATTTGTATAATCTAGACTAGATAATCCCACGCAAGAAAAAAATAACTAATGATTGATCTTTTTTCTATTTTTATTAAGATTTACCTGGTATTGGTCAAACCATTGAATTATTAACGGTTCCTGCTCCTTCCGAAACATCAACAACAACAACAACTATGACTGTTCTGCCTTCATCTCAAATATCACAATCTCAACCATCAGCAGAAAATTTTCTTCAAGAATTAACATCACTTATTCAACATCCACCTGATGATATCGTACCTATTGGTATTGAACAAAGAAGGCGTCAGCAATCTATTGATGCAAGATCAAATATTAATAATACTGTATCAGGATCACGCCAAGCTCGTACAGCTAATATATATGGTGGTACATCAGTTGGTGGCAGTGGTCGACCAGGTACAGCTGTTAAATCAACAATAACATCAAGTGGAGGAGCAACAATTCGGAAATCTTTCCAACAACAACAAAATATGAATGATGATCGAATGTTTTTTGGACGACC